AAAAAAAAAAAAAAAAAAAAAAAAAAAAAATTCTAAAAGTAACAGAAGGAAAATGTAGGCTAAACCAAATAAAATCTCCCTTTGTTGCACACTGCAAAAATCACACATTTATATTTTACATTAAATTTAGTGAAATCAACTGTAATAATTCTTTAAGCATAAGCAAAAGACTGTCGGGTTATAAATTGCCAGTGTATGTTGTACAACCTTATGCTGTTTAAAATTTTATAATTCCTTCTCAGTGGCCTTTATCCAGAGAATCATTATATTTACTCTTTATTTTAAAGGTTTAATTTTGTTTTAAAAATGATAAAAATGCTTATTTAATTTTACCACACAACTTTAAGGTTCAAAATATTCTACTTTATGCTAATTTTTTTGTTTAAAGCATTATAGTCTATATATAATGAAAATAGTTTTATATTATAATTAAAATGCTATTTTACACAAATTATAAATATCTACAAGGTGACTCTTGCACAGGAAATGAATTTAAGTGCTTAAAATATAGATTCTTTCAGAATTGGTATTTGCAAGATTCTATTTTAAGTATAATTTCTTCTGGCAAGAAACAATTCCACTTTAACACTGGTCAGGCTCACAGAAAGACTGAATTCTAGACCAACATTTTTATGATTATGAAGTCCTTTCACTTTCATGTGTTTCAGTTTCAAATACACAAAAATAAGTAGTTCAACTAGATTGCCTTTAAGATCCCTCCAGGTGAAAAGGTCAACATGTATGAAGAGAAAAACAAAACCATAATGACTCCTGGGTTAACAGAAAGGTTAACAGGAAGTGTAGAAAGTCGCAAGTCTGTTTTTGAAAAATGATACTTCTTAAATATTTTATAATTTGAGAACAAAGTCATGTAAGTTATTTATTGCCAAGAACAAATCTGAAGGAAGATACTCTAACTCTTCTTCTAAAATGTGGTGCGCATTCTAGCATCCCCCACACACAAAGCCATTGCCTCTCTGCCATGTTCCACTCAAAGAAGAGATTCCCTGATCATGTTCCCACAAATTCCTTGGCCACAGCCGCAAAGATGTCAGAAGAGCCTCATTTACTGTGTGCACTATTGGTATTTCTGAATCATTTAACTTAGCATTAAATAGTTCTGCTGGGGGAGGCCATGGGAGAAGAAGAAAGAAGTCAAGACTTATCCCAAAGCTATATATTTGACATCCTTTAACGCTTCTCAACCATTCACCGAAAGAGCAAGCCATGTCTCCACCTCGTAAACCGTTTCCAGAACTCCTTGCTTAACAATCAGAAAGACGGACTGGCATGTGCCTGGCGTCACCCGAGTCCCTTTGGGACATGAAGGTCCCTCTCCGTACTCCTTTGTGCTTAGGCCTGGAGAGCACATTCTCCTTACGCTCTATTTTGACTCTAGAGGACAGGAAATGACTTCAGGAATTTCTGCCCATTCCACCAACTCCCTTTCCTGTGTCCAGGCTGCCACTGGGGTTGTGACTCTGTCATTAGCATTCTGTTTCCAGTGCCAGTGGGGCAGAGACCATGGCGTGTTCTCTGAGTTGAAGTTGGGTCTCTTCAGCAATAGATTCTATGACTCTGTTCTATAAACAGAGTCACAGAACATTTAAAGCAAATGAGAAATATGTCTTCTTCTAAAAGAAAAAGTATTCTTGTAAAGAAAAAAAATCATCATTCTAATCATTGCTAATGGAGTAAGCTGCTTGAATCTATCTCTATGTTTATTTTACATTAAATAAGAATTTTTAGAGGTAAAACATAAACAATACAGGCTAAGTGTCTGATCAACTTCTCATAGTCAAAGGAACCTACAGTAAATGTGATAAGTACAAGCATCTATTACTGTCTCACAAGCAATACCAGAAAATCTAATATCTAATGAAAATGAGAAAAAAGAGAGCCAATATGAGCTTCCACTCATATATCATAATTAGCTTTCAAAGACTAATATAATTCATTATGAATATAAACCTTGATAAGACAAAACTATGAAAATTTCATGACTTCAAAGCCTTCAATTAAAATTAAAATGCCTTATTTGAAAACCTGGTTTTTATGCACATGATAGATAAAATGCAAAAAAAAAAGGCATGAAATATTGAAATCAACTTTAACAAGCCCTAGATTTAAATAACAAAACAAAATCAAATACAGAGCTTATGGCTCAAAGAATGAGTTTTTAAACTAAAATAAGGAAAATGAGTTTTTCAGAAATTAATGTTTTTAAATTAATACAGCGGTAAAGAAAAATTATTTTGAATCTTAAATCAGATGACACAGTGTTTTACTTCAAGAGGAAGTACAAGTAAGTGTTAGAATAACTTGACCCTGGATCTAGTGAATGTCCAACCCTTCTCCAAATTCAGGCTACCCAACTACATGTCAGGAAAGTTTACATGGCCAGTGGAAGGCTTAATTCGTATTGTTATAAGACAACACTCAATTTTTCCTTACCTTTTATCCTTAGTTAGCATTTCACTTATTTTCAGAGAGTGATTAAATTGAAAGTAATACACAGGAAACAAGGCTGGAGATGAAAATGCATTTCTTACCCTGGCAGAGGGGCGTGAGGGAGTCCCACTGGTACATGCCAAGTGGGTTTCGTCTACAGGTTGCGTTGCTGTGGCCGATCATTCGGTATCCAGGCTTGCAAAAATAATGCACTTTGCTTCCGACCGCTCCTGCAGTCCTGTTTAGAATACCCCCGTTCTTCAAGGGGTGGGTCAGACTGCAGTAAGGTGCTGTGGGCAGACAGACACACACACAAATAAGTGAACAAGCAAACAAATGGCCAGTGACATTGCCTTGGCGAGATAAAGGAACGCCTTCTGATTTCCAAACAGTAGGAAATGAGCACCAGTAGGTAAGTTTGTTCTAAAGAGCATTCCGAAACTCGAGAGTCAAGAGGCAAGTCTCTCACGCTGAAGTTGAGATCACCTGCAGCTGTGAGTCAGCGTGAAGCTGGGATCCTGACTATTGTGAGAGACATCAGGAGTATCCAATCTTCTGGCTTCCCTGGGCCACACATAAAATACACTAACACTAATGATAGCTGAGGAGCTATAAAAGAAACTGCAGAAAAATCTTATCACATTTTAAGAGAGCTTACAAATTTGTGTTGGGCTGCATTCAAAGTCATCCTGGGCCGCATGCAGCCCGTGGGCTGCAGGTTGGACAAGTGTGGTCTAGAAGTGAGGTCTTTGAAAGACCTCACTCACCTCTCTAAAGCAGGTTACTTTCTTAAGTAAGCACATCTGTCACCAGGATAAAAGTGATAGGGTACTGCACAAGGCATCATATTTGAAACAAAAATATTCTCCATTTTTTTTTAAGTATTGTTAAAACAGAGAAAGTAGAAATATATAACATGCTCTTAATCAAGGCCATTAACTTTTTTCCTTGTTGCTGTTGAGTGAAACTTCTGGACTGTACAATGACGTAGATTTTAACCTTCTTTTTTAATATATGGGATTTGAATGAAATCTTCGAAGAAAATGCATTCTCTTGAGTCAATAACAATCTCACAATAGTTTTAATCATCCCCCTTTATAAGGAGACTTTTTAGAACCAGAGGCGGGCGTTTGTGAAAATAATAGTCCCACTCACACAGAATGTCACATTTCTACGGCTAAAAGTCTCTGCATCTTATTTACACATTTAGACAAAGAAACCTGCTTCATTCGCACAAGGGGAGGTCACAACTGCACAAGGTGAGGTCACTACTGCACAAAATCCTAGGAACTCACTTCAGATGAATTTAAACAATACAACAGAGAAAGTCGTTAAGAACTGGGAACCTTGGTTTCTTTTTAAAGAAGAGGATTTTAAATCTTCCACTTCCCTCTGGGGCTTCCATGTAAAAGCACACACATGCAGGTCTCAATGCCTGGCATTGCTCCTTTCCTTGGAAATATATTCAGAAGAAACTTTCTGAAGGTTTTCTATCATAGTGGTGCCCAGAAGCAACATCTACGTGTCTGGCCCCAGTTGTCAACCGCGTTCCTGAGAGAAGCGTCCTCAGAGAATATTCTCAGCTGGGTGAGCCTCTGAAGTACCATTTCATTTTTACAACGGGCTGATTTTTCTTAAGTGAAAATCCACTATCATAAGAATCTCTTGATTCACTCCATTGGCCCTACCATCTTCTACTTTCAGTTGTTTCTAGACCAAATTTTTCTCAGTTTTGAATGAACCAAAATACTTAGTTTAGACCAAGTAGGAGTACAATCAGGCACCCTGAATTACCAATGCCTTGGAACCACTGTGCTAGCCAAAAAAAACAAAAACAAAAACAAAAAAACAAGTTAATAAATTAGAAAGAACAATCAGACTGTAGATTCCTCTCCAAAGTCATAGATAAGTTAAATAAAGTCTGCAGGAAGTGAGATCATGAGGTTTATGGTCTCACTGTGCTTTATGACACAGCTCCATCCGTTAAGAGAGATAATTTGCAGGATGAGCATCTAACTCTACAGATTCCAATAAGGTTCCATTTTTGTTTACTGTGTTTCTTCTATTGCCAGGCTCTCAAAATATCTCTTCTTTCCTAACTGACTTAGAATAAGACACAAAGGGCCCCGCAGGGGAAATCATAGCACAGAATACAAAGAGACTGGAGCACGGGCCCTGCCGGCCCAACTCCTGGCTGTGGGAAGAGGAATTCAGAGGAGCCAGGGCCCGGTCCTTCCACTCTGCTGGTGCAGCCTTGGAAAAGCCAGGATATAGAATGAAAAGTCAAATGGGTACCCAGGGTGAGAGAAGACTGGGAGAGGTGGATACTCTGGAATTTCGGGGTGAACGCCAAACCAGTCTGTATTTTCAACCTGCCCAATACAGAAGCTTTCATTTGCTTCTGGTAGCACTGAAAGGGCATTGTTAATTCAGCCTGCCCTTAGCACAGTGTATGGAATTGTCCAGAACCACAGTTCGACAGGCATTTCTTTGTCTTTTTTAACTCAGATATCAATTACAGTGATCCATTATATTGCTTTCATGCCTGAATGATCAACAGTTTTAAGTGCATACGGCAAATACATGTTGGGGATGCAATGAGTGGTCATGTGACCATATTATGGGCTAGAGTTCCCTTGCCCACATCTTAATATTTTAGGGACACGTTCATTTAATCAATGCTCAAAAATTACTGGTGCTGACCTAGCAGAGATCACCGAGTCACCAACTCTAAGTAAAAAGCTGTGAGATAGATAGATAAGAAATTTGTTATATTCACATACGACACACACCTGTTTGTCTATCTGTCTCTCTGTCACTCTCTCCCTCTCTCCACTTAAACAACACAAAATTGTGTAGTCTTCTTCTCCCAAAATAGTTTAACAATGAGGCTTTTCTTGTGGTATGACAACAGATGAAAATACTTTTTGAAAGACACAGAGATCACTGTTCTCACAATTGAAGGTATAATCATATCACCAGGCTACTAAGAATTTCTCTTCAGGTAAAACAGGATAAATTATGTTCATCATGATTTTCTCTGTGCTGACCATGTTTGCACACTGGAAAAATTCAAACACCTTTAGGAGTCTGACTATTTTTTGGAACGAGGAGTTTGCTGAATGCAAATCCCATCATTGCACCAATGTCTTTGTAGCAAAGCTCTGAGTATAGTTTACTAAATCTTCCAGAGGAAGAATGTCTGAATTTCATGCCTGTTATCCTCACATCAAGGGCCTTTCAAAATCTTGAAGCTTTTTACCATTTTATACGTCTACCAACTAGAGTGAGCTGAAACCTTCTTCTTAAAGCTGTTGTTTTTAAGACTGTTTCCTGTTTTTCCCTTTGGATGCTCCTAGTCCCTAAAGACGTAAAACACCAACACAGGAGTAAACGATCCTCCGTCAGCACACGCTGTCCACTTCCCATACACAGTGAGCATCTTTCACGGGAAAACATAACTTGAAAGTTGTCAAGCATATTGTTGAGTGAGATTTTGAGAAATATTTAGATTTTCTGCTTAGTAATTGAAATGTGCTCAGGAATGAAGAGCCTGCCAACTGCTTCTGTAGGAAAGTTTAAAAACTGCTGTGGTCAGATCACATTGACGATTGTATACAGGATTTAATGTCTAATAAATATATTGACTGATTTAATCAATTTGTTATTAATTGATTTAGTTAATATAAATCACTGCTGGCAGAGAATGATTAAAGTATATAGAGAAAGGACAAAATAATTTACATTTTGATAAGGAAATATATATATTAAACATATACTTATTATGTACATGCTTATTTGTACGAATATATGCATGTACATATATGTGGTGTGAATCATACATAAAGAGACCTGCAGATAGAAAGACATAACTATTAATAGAAAGAGATTATCATCACTTATGCAATTAATAGAAATACAATTATCTTTTCCTGTTTGTTTCCTTACCATTTAAACAAATTTTAAAATTAACTTTGATTATATTAGTTTATCTTTTGGAAAATGTCTTTGCTTTCTATGATATGAATTTCAACAGTTTGTAATTTTAACAACCAAATTCTAAATAATAAGCAACAAATTTCCTAATGTAGTTTAGAGGAATCATTCAGAATAATTCCCCATCATATATTTCTATTGTAGTTAATTATTAATCTTTAAGAAATAGGATTATATTGTAAATTTCTTTTTTTTTTTTTGTGAGACGGAGTCTCACTCTGTCCCCCAGGCTGGAGTGCAGTGGCGCGATCTCGGCTCACTGCAAGCTTCGTCTCCCGGGTTCATGCCATTCTCCTGCCTCAGCCTCTCGAGTAGCTGGGACTACAGGTGCCCGCCACCACGCCTGGCTAATTGTTTTGTATATTTAGTAGAGACGGAGTTTCACCATGTTAGCCAGGCTCGTGATCCACCCACCTCGGCCTCCCAAAGTGCTGGGATTACAGGTGTGAGCCATCGCGCTCGGCCATATTGTAAATTTCTATTTAAATTGTTTTATTCAATGAAAATCACCTGTTTTAAAATACTTTCATATAAAATCTAAACCTCATTTACTTACCTGCATAGCGAATCTTGAATCCTTTCTTACTGGTGGCATGGTCAGTGGACCAGCGGAGATATAACTGATTACTCCTGCTTGTAAAATTTGATTGTTCAGTATGATTCCCACTTAAGACTACTAGGAGAGGACTTTGCCCAGAAGAACCTAAGTGAAACAGAAAAACAAAAACATTCAGAGATGAGTGAGCACCTACAAAATGCATACTAGGTTTAGCTTTTGATTACAGTAGAGTCTACGTGTTCAATCAGACATTATTATTCCAAAAGGGGACAACAAATTCCAAATGACTATAGTGACAGATGTATTTTCTGATAAAAATAAGACAATAATCTACAAAAATAATTTCAGGTGCATATGCTATTAATGGCATCATATTTAAATGAGCTTTGTCTATAAAACAGCAGTAACTGAAAAAAATGAAAGTAATATGTATTGTGGTTAGTATTTACAACATCACACTTATACCAGAAAATAGAAACTTTCATGTAATACTAGTGGAAGTATAAAGTAGTAGAATCACTTTGGAGGGCTATTTGGTAATATCCAGTAAAACTGAAGGTTCAATTATATTTCTATGAACCCTAGCACATGTGTGCAAGTATTATTTATATAGTGAACATGTGTATTCTAGCACGATTTCTCATGGTAAATTTTAGATCAAACTAGTAATTTGGAGTTTTAAAAAAGAATTGAAGATTCCATGAAAAAGAATTAGATTCACACAGCATTAAAATTAACAAACTAGCTATACACATATTCACATAAGTAATTCTTAATATAACAGATTATTACTAAAAATATATATTTAGAGATAAATATAATAGGATAACAATTACATAAAAAATAAAAAATGCGACATATAAAATGTGTACGTGTAGATGATAGAGAAATAGTTATAAAACATGCATAACCATGACCCATACAACTCCAGCTTCAGAATACTAACTTCCTCTAGGAGAGGCACAAGTGGAATTGGATGTGGGTGAAACTTCCAAATTTACCTGTACACATTGTTTCTTTATAAGACAAGGGCCTAAAGTAAATTTGACAAAGGCCTGAAATGCATATCTAGTTTTTTCATTTTTCACCTGTCTATGGTATTTGAAATTATTTTAAAAACACTGAGACAACACAGTTAATACTGAATGTATAGGTAAGAAAAGAAAGCACAGTGGAGAGTCACCCGGCATCGCCCTCGTCACCATAACCCAAAGCCCTTTATCAGGAGAAACTGTTTCATGGCACTGGAGCTGCCAACGATGCTACTCTGTCAATGAGCCCAACACGATCTCATCCTCGTAAACGCGCTCATGGCATTTTGCATTTCACAGTTCACTCCTAGGGAACACACTCTGGACTGGGAGAAGGCGGCTCTTGCTGTTGTTCATAATACAAATGCTATGAAGTAAAGTGACACCTGTCTTTGTTGTTACACATAAAATTTGATTTGTGCAAAGATGCTGAGAAACCACACTCCACTCCCTGTGGAACTCCCAGTCGGAGCAGTTCTCATGATTTGTTTCAAGTAAGACTGTATGGACTAGACTGGGTCCCCCTCAAATTTACACATTGAAGTTCTAACTCTCAGGACTTGGAAATGCGACTTGAAAGAGAGAGAGGGAGGGTCCCTGAAGACATAACTAAGGTTAAATGAGGCAGTATGGGTGGGTCCTAATCCAATATAACTGGTGTCTTTCTAAGAAAGGAGATTAAGACAGTCACACCCTGAGTGGGGGCCACATCTGCAAGCCTGGGAGGGAGGCTTGGAGGAGAGTCCTGCCCTGCCCACCCCGTGAGCTTCAAGGTTCAGCATCCAGAACTGTGCGAACAGAAATTTCTGTTGAGGCCGGGCGCAGTGGCTTACACGTGAAATCCCAGCACTTCGCGAGGTAGAGGCGAGTGGATCACCTGAGGTCAGAAGTTCGAGACCAGCCTAGCCAATATGATGAAACCCCATCTCTACTAAAAATACAAAAAGTTAGCTGGGCGCAGTGGCAGGGTCCTGTAATCCCAGCTACTCAGGAGGCTGAGGCAGGAAAATTGTTTGAACCTGGGAGGTGGAGGCTGCAGTGAGCCGAGGTTGTGCCATTGCACTCCAGCCTGGGCAACAAGAGCGAAATTCTGTCTCAAAAAAAAAAAAAAAAGAAAAGAGTCTGTTGAAGCCACTCAATTTATGGCACTTTGTCATGGCAGCCCTAGGAAAGAAGTATGAAACAAACAAACGAACAAAAAACCACAACCCAAAACTAGCATATTAAATAACTGGGCAACGCTGACTTTGGTCAGAGTGAAGGAGGAGGAGAAGAAATGACATTAATAGTTCTCGCTGTGAAAAACGTCATGGCTACATTTCCTGGGAGATGGCCTGCAAAAGAGTGGCTTGTATTTCATAATCAAAGACAGAGTGTGTTTGGTATGTTGGTTTGCTTATTTGGTGTTTAAAAGGATAATGTATGTTCTGAGATAAAATGCCACTGGGAAATTAATTAACCTGAATTTGTGATGTTTTGAAATGTCGTTTTTAATGACAGAACTCAAGATTAGGTGTTTTTTTTTTTTTTTTCTTTTTTGAGACAGAATCTTGCTCTGTCTCCCAGGCTAGAGTGCAATGGTTCAATCTCGGCTCTTTACAACTTTTGCCTCCCAGGTTCAAACGATTCTCCTGCCTCAGCCTCCTGGGTAGCTGGGATTACAGACGCCCGCCACCATGCCCAGCTAATTTTTGTATTTTTTAGCAGTTAGACACGGTTTCGCCATGTTGGCCAGGCTGGTCTCGAACTCCTGACCTCAGTGATCCAGTCACCTTGGCCTCCTGAAGTGCTGGGATTACAGGCGTGAGCCACCAAGTCTGGCCAATTATAGGTATTCTTAATCCAGCATCTGAACCCTCATTACGTTCTATCTGTTCTCTTTGTCTAAAATGTAACTAACCTTCTAGAAAGACTAGTCTTTAAAAGCACACATTCAAATTGGCATGTGCAGAAAAACAGCACAGCAGTAAAGGAAGGTATCCATTTCTGTTACCAAAATGGAAACTAAGTATTCTACCAGTGTACACTGTAATTTTAATTTTGACAGTCTTCTCAATCGAGTTTCATTATGATTAAAACTGTGTTTTAAAAAGCATTATGGGATATCCACTACTTAAGCCACAGAGAGTAATATACGCTTGAGATAATAAAGTCTAAAATCAATATATTCAACAACATGTTTTTTGGTCAACCTATGAACTATAAAAGAGCCTGTCTTACAAAAAAAAAAAAAAAGAGAGATACGAACCTGACATTTACTGCAACAAAAATGTCATCGCTTAAAAAAATTCATATAAAACTCTAACCTTTCACTTTGCAGAAAAAATTTTAAGACCAGAACAATCCTAGTCATTGATCTCTGATAATTTTGACAGCAAGTATTATGCTATTGTCTCTAATGTCTATTTTGCCTGTTGTTTATAATGGCTATGATCTGTCCAAATTTGTAGGAGATCAAATTGCAAGCCATGAGTGCATAAATTATTGATAAATATTTTGCTCCTGAAAGTAAGAGACTTAAAAGCACGGCCAGCTATATTTCAGTTCAACTACTGTGAAACGAAAGAACATGCGTAAGTTCAAAATAATTATTTAAATATATTTTTATGTCCTTTGTAGGGATATATATGTCTATATATACACAAACACAAACACAGACATGCAGCCTGTGAGGCTGGATACTCTACATTTTAATTTTCGCATAATACCTAATAGGCCTCAAATGGAGTTTACCTCCCTTCCTCCTCAACAAGAGAAACCCCATTTTTTTTTTTTTTTTTTTTTTT